ATAATCTTCAACCTTCAGGAAAGTGGCTCTTCCCTATTGACTGATCGTGAAGAGCATGATCTTGGTCAATGGAAGAATATTTGTAAACTTCTAGGAACCTCGCCCTGCAGTAAATCTCTTCAACGCCTAGCGTGCAGTAAGTTCTCCCTTAGATGCTCTCCTAAGCCTTTGAGGGTGTCTCTCGATAGCACTCGTCAGTCGGAACACATCCTTGCGAAAGGTCATCAGTTGGTGGAGCGAATACCGTCTGACGTGAGGATTAGGTCTGACAGACCCTGTTTAGTGAGTGGACTTCTTCGCAAGAGCTAGAAAATCCACTCTGAGGAACTATGCTTTTCAGTAATCAAACGCGGGATTCCTGAATGTCCGGGTACTGGTACTGCTGAACCGATCCAAGACACAAGTCATTGGAGACATATGGTCAGCAAACTTTAAGCCGATGTAAATAATAAATAAATAAATATTTCATTCTCAAAGTAACAGTTTAACATGCGAGAAACTAGTTTACAGGCATCATCAAATGGATAGTGGTAAAGAAATCTCCAGTAGTTGGGCCGCCCTGAATGATACAGAAGGTATCGCATCAGGGTTTATCATGAAAATAAAAGTGACCGTGGATTGTGAAAAGAACAGAAAAATGTCACTCCACAATACGTTCAGACTGTTTATGAGTTTCGGTTGTCTCCGCTCACCATTCTTTTTACACAGTAAAGTGATACGAAAATCGTTCAATATTTGACGTTTGTGCTACATGTGACCTAGATGGCTAACCTGGCGGTATAGTTCCATGTTTCTTCAGATAAACGTTTATTTTGACATCAGTTAACATGTCTATAGTGTCGTTGGCCAACGAAAACTTACTTCATCGATCTCAGGTAACAGTAAGTGACAGCATAACTACATAATCCGCATGAGTATAGAAGTCTTCGCATTTCCTACTCGTAGTGTGACCTTGCGCAACAATAAAGACGTAATCCATCGGGACTAGCTGTTGCTGTACAAAGAGGTAAACATGGTGATGGAGTTTTGCGCATAGAATTCACATTGAAGCATACAGCATTATCAAGGAGGTATGCTGACTGTTAATTGTTTCCTATAAAGGGAAGCCAAATGGGGGTGAAGTATTTGAGTCACCAGGTGAGTTTATTTCTTAGGTTTAGTTGTCTGTCCAGATTTTCGCTGCTGCTATGACCGTCCAGAAGCTTTAGATCATTCATTGTAGTTGAGTTTTCGTACATGGTTGCATCCAGGCTGTTGTAGAACGTTTCAGAAAGCTGAAAATCAGTAGGGGAAGATCGGATGAAGTATTCTTCCAACAGTTTCTGGTATCATGTGTGAAGTAGTATATTCAGTAGATTGACAACTTTGGCCAAAATTATGCTCAAGGTTTTCTCTTCAAACTTCAGCTGAAAAGAGAAGGAGAAAAGGAAAGCACGAGCGGGAACCAGAGAATGATATAGCACACAAGACGAAATTGGGAAGAGAGAAGTTCCTATCTTTGAGACGTTCGAGCTACATGTGCGCACTAATTTATGCATATGAAAATGACTCTTATGGTTATCCTACGTAAAATACGTACAAGTTTTTTGATATACAGTGTTTATTTATAGACGTACGGGTAAAACTGACTGAACTTCAAGGTGATATACACTTTACCAATGTGTGCTTTACTGACTGTACAGCCTAAGCTAGTGGAATGGCAGTCGAAAAATCAATCGTCGTCGAAGGCCAGCTCACCTCTTGACTGTTTGAATTTCCACACTGCTCCAGGTAACCCTGGACCCTCCGGACACGGCCAGAGCTACCCTGGAATCCTGGTGTAATGTATCTGACAGGTTCCCTACAGAAATTAAGATAGGTGAGTGAAAACCCAGGGGACAAAGGCAGACTGAGAGGCGATTCAAGCGCTCCCCGTTGGCTAATCTACACCTAACGATCGAACGGTTGGATGATGAGCAGGAGGTCTTATCAACGCCGTCCCGGATCAAAGAATCCTGCACTAGTTCTCAGTCAAACGGATCGATGGACCTGGCAGCCTCTGGTTAAACCCTCTTATCAAAAAACTTGTCATAGCCGTCCACTCAAAGGCTGGCAGCGCATTTTTAACTCAACCTGCTGCTGGGACCTCCGGCCCTCATACTCACACTCACTGTGCCTATAGCAGTATGCGTGGCCTGCACCCCAAGATGCCGGAGTTGGGGTTGTTAGTTGATAGTGCTAGCTCTGGCATAATGGCTTTCCGTGGAACGTGGCTCACAGAGAACATAAAAGATGATGAAGTTTGTTAAGGACAGCCCAGCCTAGCTCAGAAGGATGGACCGGAGGGCCCAGTAGGTGGCGTTACTCTTTACAGCTGTCTTCCCTTGAAATTCCGTGAGATTCATTTCCACGGAACTAGCACTGTAGATGTTCTCTGGGGAGCATTAAATTCTGTGGGGGTCCGCGTTTGGTTGGAGTCTCACGCTGCCCTCCTGGAGCCGACACTACGTTAAGCAAAACGGAAGACTTTGGCCTTTCTCAACCCCTTGACCCTGAAAGTCCATGTGCCGCTTCAAAAGACTTTCGGGAATCGTTGCTGCAAAACTTCTTGACTGAACATGTTTCCCAGTGCACCCGCTGGGGAGTTTGACGGTAAGGCGTCCCAACTAGATCAAATTTTAACAAATCAATCCATTGAGGTAACCAACTTGAACGTTCTCAGCCACCTTGGGTCGAGCGACCATGCAGTTATTTCCTTCAACATTTCTATATCTAAGCTGCCCACTCCCGATCAGCCACTGGTCAGGAATTGCAGGAGAAATGATTTCGAGAAGACCCCGCAAGATCTAGAAGGTTCCGCCTTCTCAAATATCGGTGACCCACTGGATCTGGGTGTCAGATAGGATCTGTTGAAGGACACAATCCTCCAGGCGATAAAAGATAACACTACTCTGATTCCAAGAAGAACCACTGAATTCTACTCCTACTGGCTTAAGCCAAGCACGTGCAAGGTTATTCGGCGTAAGCGGTCATCTTGGAATCTATGGAGGTACACTGATGGCCTCGTTGACTGGTTGGATTATAAAGACATCCGTAACAGATGTACTGGAAGAATCAGAAATGACAGAATAAACTGACGGATACAACTATGTAGAACCCTGGAGGGGAATCTTGGGATACTATACTCGCTGATGAAACAGAAGAGTAACAGTTCACCTAGTCTACAGGACCCCAGTAGTCTGAAGATTCTCCATTCTAGCTCCGAGGTAGCAAACTTACTGTTTCATGGATTCCAAAACAACTTCTCTCATTTAGGAGGCAAAACCACACATCTGTCGGACACCTATACCACAAAGGGGCTAAACCACACAGACTGTGAACCCTCTACAGTTATGGAAACATTAAAGGATTTGAACCCGAATAAGTCTTCGGGAATTGATAGGACTCATCCGAAAGTACTCAAAGAGTGTGCTGTGGCTCTGTGTGCCTCACCAGCAAACCCCTTAGAATGCTCGGTTCTGGGAGACAGGTTGCTTTCTGGCTAGAAACGGGTGGCTGCCGTCACAACATATAAAGACGAAAACAAACTACTTGCCTCCAACTACAGACCGATCTCCCTAATCTCTTCGGTTGCGAAGGTCATGAAGAGAGTCATAAATGACTCATCTCGTGATCACTTACTTAAGAAATCGACCTTAATCGACCGTCAACGTGGCCTTTTGCCTGGAAGGTCATGCAACAACAATCTGTTGACGGGGTAGGATGGCGCCGGGTTGCGGTCAGTTAGAGTTGGCTCCCTTCTATCTAACCGGTTCCCGATGCTGAGTGGTGTGCCTCAAGGTTCTATTCTGGGCCCACTACTGTTTCTTGCCTTTATCAATGACCTACCGGGAGTCCTTAATCCTTATTCACCATTATATGCTGATGATCTGAAGATTTAGAGGGAAATACAGGTGCCAACGGATATTTCGGTCTTCCGGGAGGACCTTACGAAAATCCTTCAATTGGACTACAGAAACCTGCTCCCTCCCAACTCGAGAAAGTGTCGGATAATGATAGTTGACGGATATAAAGGCAGTCCCAGTCCTTACTCTCTGGATGAAATAAATTTCTGTCACTCTAACATGGAACACTAACTGGGAGCCACACTAAGTGGCACACCAGGAGCCTGTATCCACTGTCACCTTGCAGCCAACAAGGCCTATGGAGTCTTATGGTTTCTCTCACAAACTTCTCTTTTCACCACGGTGTATACTGTATGCATTCGCCATCATCTAGAGAAAGAGTCACTTGTGATGACACATCCATCCCCGAATGGGTACAGAGAAAGGGATTGGGTTACGGAACAAACCGTACCCAGACCGCTTAGTTGCTTTTTATCTCCATCCAGTACAAACCGGAGGATCAGAGGGGATGTGATCATGACGTACCACATCGCCCATAACTCTCTCCATCCTAACAGATCCCTTCTAAGCTTTACTCGGAAACGCGACCTGAAGAGTCACACGTCAAGAATAGAGCATCGGAGAGCACGTACAAAGATCCTTGCTAACTCATTTGCGGTTGGAGTCTGTAAAGTGTGGAACTCCCTTCCTTCAGGAGTTGGAACAGCCCCATCCCTTGATACTTTAAAAAGAAGGTTAGACGCACACCTCAAGTCCTACGTTGTCGATGGGCTGTACTCGAGAAGCTTTCCATCATCTGCAGATCAGGTGCAGTAATGCCACCTTGAGACCAGATTGAATAACAATCGTTTATCTCCACCCATTCAGGTTTTTCGGAACCAGAAGGACAATTATGCTCATTCGAAACCCAGAACGTTTTCCAATAAGACAGACACAGAACCCAAGGAACTCATTCTACAACACGAAGTTTAGAGTTTGAAGTTTCATCAGACTATTCTCTTGCTTTTTTGACAAAATAAGTGTTAGTATTTCTTATCACACTGTAAGTTATCTAGCAATAGATTAATACTCAATACACTGGAGTGTTTCAATATACTTTCAGAATTGTTTTTCTATGTTATGTTGTAGGTCGAAACAAAAGGCGCAAGAAACGCTAAGTTTTGAGATGGCGTGTGTTAAAGTGAAAAACCAAGTTTTTGAAGTATCTCCTCGATATACTGATCTGAATTACATCGGGGAAGGCGCATATGGATTGGTTGTGTAAGTAAGATATATTTTGGTATATGCTCGTTTCAGTCGTGCGTATGATACTTTAAAGCGTGAAAAGGTTGCCATCAAGAAGACCTCACCATTCGAAAACCAAACCTTCTGTCAGAGGACTTACCGAGAATTAAAAATACTTTTGGGTTTCTCACATGAAAATGTATGTCATTTAATAGAGTTGATTTCGTTGTTACTAAGGCTATTTGTTCAGTTTGCTAATACTACTGTACAGTCATTGAAGATTACTTTATTGTCATCTTAAGTAGATTCTGCACTGTGGTTATTATCCATTACATGTTTTTTTAATTGTCAGTTACAGATTACTGTCAGTCTACCCTGATGCCAGACCTAAAGTCATACCTTTTGGTTTCGGCCATGCAACTTCATTTGTTTCACCTTGTTGCCGATTAGCTAACTTAAATTTCGTGAAAATCCTCAGTTTCCGGTTTTTATCACGTCTTTAATCCTTGTCTGGTTACACTCCGGTGCTTTCCATTTATCCCTCGGCAATCTGTTAGTGCTTGGTTGGTGTTGCAGAAAGAAAAATAATCTGTGTTGATGAAATAGTACTGTACTTTACTCCATTTGTCACAGTGAAATTTCGTTTTAAATTTGGAATGTAGGAAACAAGCTCGAAATCAGGATATAAATACTTTTGGTTGACTTTTCGACATAGCGTGAATTCGATATGAGTACTTTGATCATATTGTTTCAGTGCGCCAGTGTTTTGTCGGGTGAATCTTACCCATGCCTATTTGTGCACTTCTATTCAGTGGTTTCGTGAGCTGAATTACTACATTATTTAGTCTTACATTCCTAAGATTACGTATATATGTGCATATATACATGCTATGTACTATATACTACATACTGTATAATGTATGAGTGACTTTAGTCCTGATCGTAGCGTGGTGGAACTAACAAGGTTTCGGAAAGCTCACTCCCACAAAATCGGAAAGATTAGGAAGGTCAAATGGATTTTGATGCTTTTATTGTACACATTCTTTTTCCATATTTGCAAATATTGTGATAGCTGGCGTATTCTATTGATGTAGTTATTTGTTTATAGGTTGTAGAGTAATTTTGACTAAATATTAAACTATCTGAACAGTTAATCAAGACATTAGTCTAATTCCAGGGTTGCCGGACTAGGATTTTCTTGCTAATATTCTAATTCCAGGTGAACGGTCTTGCCATACGGTAGTGGTTTCGAGACGATTTCGATCCCTTCCCATGTTTAAATAATCAATCTATCAAGCGAATTTAAGCTGTCGTTAAATGTAAGGTTCTAAATTGGCACTTTTTGAACCATGCTTTTCTGCTCAGCTTCAGTAGAAACAATTATCTATGTCTGCTTGACATTATACATATAATTCACAGGTCTAAAAAGTTCTAACCGGTTTCTCATAAGGTGTTGAAAAACTGATATTCGCTTGTCAGTTGAGAATATGCGTAAATTAGTTTCCTCTCTCCGTCATCACTATTGTAAACCAAGTTTTAACTTTCTGTGAAACTCAAACACTAGGATACTCTTTTGATTCAAAGATATCTAACATCACTTTATAACATCAATTAGTAGAAATGAAACCTGTGGACCATTTCAAAAAAATTTCCCCCAAAATAATCGTGTTTGCTCATACGTCTCGAAGACTGTGTGACATCATACATAATGGCTTTTCTATAACCTTTCTGCGAAATTATACCGCCCACTTAAGTGAAAGCACAATTATCAATTGATTGTCAACTGTTCAGCTAAAAACAGCGCGTTGAAGTGTTCAGTTACCTAATCTATCACATCGCTTAGTTCTCCAACTCAATTTCATCAGTATTGCAAACTAACGTAATCTAATGCCTGATAACTGCTTATTGGAAGAAGTTGTTTTAGCCCTCGATATTTATATAAAACTTCCTCAGCGTGGGCGTTTTTGTGAGATTCAGCAGTGTGCGAGTTCCTGTAATGATAAAAAACGTCCTTATTCTCAAGGACCTATCTATTTGATCGAATAAAATGCAGAGTAATTTATTTCTATATTCTTATTAAAGTGAACAAGCCCGGGAACCCACGCAGTTAGATGATCAAATACAAGGCATAAAAACCAGTTTTCACAAAATGCAACCATTCAAGTTGTGAATGACTAGTTGCTGTGTGAGGAGTGAGAGTGGAATGATTTAAAATTCACACTTGCTATTGGGATTTTAAACAAACATCAGCAACATAAAATATCGTAAATGAGAAAGTAAAGAAATCTAAGTGAATTAATCAAAGGTCATAGGAATCAGTAAAGCTTAAAAAAGGAAATAAAGCAAATAATGAAGTGTGAAGTTATGACTTAGGTGAAGATAATGTATGAATTCACTCTCATGACTGACATAGATTCCGACTCACATCACCTGTAGTCTCCAACCATCGGTTTCGTTCGTCTTACATACCAACCAAAATGCCTTTATTTCCCTACACAACTGAGGTGAGCACGGAGAGACTTAGTGGATTGCTGTCATGTTTTAATGTGCTCACTCTAGTTTCATCCGACTTAATTTCACTCAAGTTGATACTATAAACGGGGGTAGATTCTGGTTTCACATTTTTTATTCATAAGTCGCTGTAGGTTAACAACCTCATCAACCGACTTAAATCTTTTTACTTAAGGTTTCACACCTAATATTGATTTACGACATGCTGGATATATTGCAAGACCTAATATTTTCTAATGTGAATGATCATGTTTCGCATCCATAAAGCTAATACAACTCGGTAATTATTGTAAATGATCATTTATAAGTCTGTTTATTTATTTTGCAAGTAGGTCTAGTAGCTATGCACTCATCACAATTTAAATTTTGAATGATTTTTCAGATAATTGACATTAAGAATCTTTTACTGGTTGGAAACACACTGGAGGATATGAAAGATGTGTAGGTTTTCCATTTTGCCTTGATTTTATCTGACAAATTCCAGTTACATCGTTCAAACCTTAATGGATACTGACCTGTACAAGTTGCTAAAAGCGCAAGAATTATCAAGAGAACATATTTGCTATTTTCTGTACCAAGTGCTTCGGGGTAAAACCATCTGTTTTGAGCTCATTACCTTCTCTTTTTAGGTCTGAAGTATATCCACTCCGCAAATGTTTTGCACCGTGATTTGAAGCCCTCTAACTTATTGTTAAATTCCAGCTGTGATCTGAAGGTAATTCATTGCATAAAATACTGTGTTTGATTATATATAACTTTGCATTTGCATAAACTAAAACAGTTTACTGAAAGAATTCTTAAGCACTAATTTTTCTTGGACTTCTGTCATCTCATTCACACTTCAATTACTTAACTTGACAGGTTATTTCCAGTCAAAACACAAAAAATTAAGTGCGTTAACTTTGCCTTATTCTAAACTGCTGATCTAGTATAAGTTGGCGCTTGAAACTTCATTAGGCTACAAAAATATCGGAGAACATTTCCAAAGTGTGAAGTAAACTTAGAACAGGAAATAAGCTACTAATACCATTTTGTCCATTCGTAAAATCGTGCAAAAGTGATAAGATCTTTCTCATCTAAGTACCACTTGATTTTAGAATTAAAAAAACTACACAACCTTCGAGCACCTAACTCTATTTGAATCTTATTTTTTATATTTCGTGACACTGATATCTTGGTTATATGTGTAATTAATTATAAAAATTGAAGCAATAAAGTGATTGAAGGTGTTATTCAATCCTTAAAATTTAAGTGAATTATTTCAAAACATGTTATAGGAGGAAGAAACAGTTAGATATATTAGCTGGAGGTCAAACTGTCAAGTGTGACTGAGTGGAGTTGAGACTTATGTTAAAAGGTTCAGTTAGTTATATTTTAAATCATTGAATCATCCCTACTAATTTCTTGAAGGGAATGCAAAACATATCCGCGTTCTTTGCGTGGAAAACTTTTCCAATAGCGCAAACTTCTACTAAGAAATACCTGCATTTATCTAAAAAAGTGTCTTACATTCATCTCATTGTTTGTCCCACTTAAAAGTGCATTATAATCGTTTATGAGTGAGTTTTCGATATATCATGTTGCTATTGTACTTTTTTCAAAATTTAGATCTGTGATTTTGGATTGGCTCGAGTTAATGATCCTGAACATGACCACATGGGTATGCTAACGGAATATGTTGCTACGCGGTGGTATAGAGCTCCAGAAATTATGCTTAGTTCAAAAAATTATACCAAAGCAATCGATATTTGGTCTGTGGGCTGTATTTTTGGAGAGATGCTCAATCGTAGACCATTGTTCCCAGGAAAACATTGTATCCTTTTAAATTTACCTGGGTTCATTATTTTAGTGCATATAGTAGGAATATTTGTCATTCAATAAAATTGCGAATGAGTTCTTAGAGGAAACACCTTTCTGGGCCTCGTCGGTCGCTAATAGCTTTTGATGCTACATGGCATACTTTCTGTTATCTGAATATGTAAAATTGTCACAAATCAGATATTAAAGTTCAAATATATAATAACTTAATAACATATGGCTTTGTAAACGAATGTCTGGTTATTACTTTTTGAGAATTCTTACCACTATACTAACTCGACTGACAGGTTCCGTCAGTAAGAATTTGTGAATCACTGCTAGATGGAGGTAAAACGATTGGGATATTGAAATTTTTGCAAAATGTACACAGCAAGTTTCAGAGATGTGTACACATCTTCAATAGTCAGCTAACTGATTGGTATGGATCTGGTGTCTTAGTGCATCGGTTCTCCAGCTTATAAGTTTGGGATAATACAGGCGTTTTTGAAAGGTTTTTCCACCATTTTAAAGGTTATTAGCTCTTTACTCGTCCTGTGTAATAAGCTTGTGTGGTCTTATTTGATCAGTTTATGTGGAAAGTACTGTCAACAAATGAACGTTACATCATAAGGTGGTAATTCACTTAGCTGTCTGCAAATGTCAGCGAATGTACAGTTGTCAGGTCGTATGTTTGTATTTATTTATATACCTTCCCTGATATCGCAGAGACTAATTACTTGTAGATTAGGTGGATCTATTGCTAAACACTTCATCGCTTAAATTTCCCTCTTATTCCACAACATTTCTCACCTAACTTCCTTGACTATCTTTACTACCATCAGATGTGGAACAGTTGACCCTTATCATTGGAGTTTTAGGATCGCCAAGTAAAGAGGATAAAATGTGGATTGTAAATGACAAGGTTAGTGTTACTTTCCCCCCCCCCAGACTTATTGTCTTATTAAATTAACTGAAACTGTTTACCATATCTCAATAGGACTGTCTTAGTTCAGTAATATCACCTAAATATGTGGTGAAATTTAGTAGTCATTTGACAATGCATACTTTCTTTGTGCATTGTACATTCTGCTTATTTTATATTTAATACAGCTAAGTAGTAGGATGATAACGTCTTGTATACATAAATATGGTTTCCATACTGAGTTTGTCAGTAGTAAATTTATTCTATTTATTATTGCGTTTGAGTTTGTGCTATCGTGCTCCTGTTTATCGGCGAAAGCGTTGTACGCTTACAGGATAACCAGTAGGAAACATTAAGATTTTTTTACTACCTATCTCGAATAATCTTCCTAAAAAACCACTCTTTAAACGCTACAGGCTAACTTGAATCTTTTATTTGTAACTGACTTATAGGCCCGAAGTTTTGTAGAGAAGTTTAAAAGCAGCCCTCGGAAGTCATGGAAGGATTTATATCCTACAGCTGATGCTAAAAGTAAGTGTTTTTCATTTCAAAAGGTCTTAATCTATGAAACTTATGGTGGTGTTCTTCACTGTTTTTAACAGTAATTCATTGAAATGTCGAAACTAGTGGTAAATCTATCGGTAAAGTTTTAGTCAACCTTCAGGCAAGTGAAAAACAGTGTCTTTTTGACACTGCAACTTTTGAATTGTCTTAATATTGTATATAATAGGTATTAATACTTTAGAAAACATGAGCATATAAGACCATGGTTTAGATGTGAATCAATACGAATCATTCAACTGAATAACGGTATGCAAAACAGCGTTAGCACAACAGAGGGATCGGATTCGAAAGAAGGTTAATAGGTACAAGAAACACGTAGGAAGTATGTAAAACTATTCAAGTAGGTTCTGTCTTGATTCACTTTACTAATTTCTAAAAGGCAGTAGTCTTTCCCATCTTGTCCACTTCAGTGAACTTTTGCTAGGTACAATTGGCACCCATTCTCTCCTTCGTCTTTGTAATCTTAACCAAAAATATCAAAAGATATACAAACAAGATTTTCTTTCTTCCTTATATTTTACTTGAAAAATGTTGAGACAATTCTTTGTTTTTCCAACCACCCTAATGCTCTATTTTTTGTAATATTTATTTATAAGGCCTATACATTTTTTTCTTTCCTATCCACATACATGCATAGTCAACCATCCGGCTTATTGATTATTCTGTCCCTTTGTATTTATTTTCCTGTTTTTTGTGTGTAGACCCACTTTCTTTCAGTATCTTGCATAACTTCTTTATTCTTACTCAATCATTTCTTTTCTGCCATCCTGTTGTAGATTGATCTGATAGATTCACTTGATCACCCGTGAAACTAAATTAGCTCTGTTTTTTGAAATTCTAGTTTTTAGATGTTACATGTTAACCATCCAACTTACCTGCGGAGTTGGATCATCCATCCATGGATTGATGGTCGATGAAATCTAGACACAGATAGAAAAGGCTCGGTTATTTTTCACCAAAGTATGCCTTTTGTAGCATCACTGAAGCACTAGGATAACTATTGCTTTTCGTGTTTTCCGTAAGTGTACACTTCATTCTTCTCTGTAGTTTTAAAACATGACCATTAGAAGTGAAGAATCTCAGAAGGTTTCGGGTATTCGGCAACCGTTGTCTGTTTAGGAATGCTCGCATATGATAGAACCACCATTTGAGCATTGTAGTAAGTAGGTATGGAGCTGTAGGTAATGGAGGTGATTTGGTGGATCAAACTATGAATCGTCGTCAACTGAAGTGGCTTGGACATACGTCAAGCATTATGAGTCGCCGTCCACCTAGTGCATATTATCATTTGAATTAAGATCAGGTGAGAAAAAAAACCTAGATATGGAATCAGTTCATAAAATCACTAACTGTTGGTTTAAATCGTGAATGGTTAAAATATGGGCATCCCGGTCACAGTTAGCACAACAGCTTAAATCCGTTATTTAAGACTGTTGGTAATCTGACTCACAATTGACCACGCAGGCACAGATACGTTCCCACCTTGTCATCCTCTTAACCACAATTTTTTAAAATTTCATTTATTTTCTTTCATTCTGTTGATCATCTGTCTGTCTACGAGCTATCACTTCATCTTAAGTTGTTATTATTATAATAACAAATCGCATATATTTTCAGTTGTTTCCTCCTCCTCATTCGAATGCATTTGAAACGCATTATGTTACCGTTCAGGCCTGAAGATTTATGTTGATGAAATAATTTGGCATTAAAATTTGGATTTCATCATATCGTCAATCGATTGGGATCTAGAAATATCGTGTTCATTCAGGTATTAACAGTAGGAATAGTGCTTGTATGCTGTAGAGCTCTTTTAAAGGAGCTGAATAACCGTCCTCTGTTTCCATATTTTGTATACTTATCGATATGTCACAGCATATGAATATCAACTGTTTATTGTAAACATAACACTACTCACGAAAATGTACATTGTGTACATTGTAGAAAACGTCTCACACTATCTTGATTTCATATTTCAAGAGCACACGGATGGTAAACCTTTTGAAAGTGAAATAAAGAAGACGATTATAATTGTAGTGCTGGAATGATAATACTTTCATTTGAATACAATTTTTAATTATCCAGCTGTAACCTAAGTTGTTTTAAATTGTTACGCGTTTGTTTCTGAACAGCTGTTGACTTGTTGGATCGCCTATTAACATTCAATCCAACCACACGTATTTCTGTCGAAGAAGCATTAGCCCATCCTTATTTTGAGCATTATTATGACCCAAGTGATGAGGTAAGTATTCTGTGATTGTCTTTTTGTAAATATATATACATATATATAGTCTGCTTCCGTTAGCTCGCTAGGTTTAGACGACTGAGAAATGACTGAGTCCAGTGTACGGAAATCAACTTACTAGCTGAATAAATATACTTAAACTGGAACTTCTTTATTGTCAACTCTATTACTCGTGAACAGTTACTTAAAATTAGAGATTGTATATAGTGTAACTCTTTTCTACCTGATAGGTAATATTGTTATCGTTGTTTACAACACCATGAATCTAGATATTTTTTTCATGGTTTCCGTCAAGATACTTCGAGAATTTCTGTCGAACTCAGTCGATAGAAATCGGTCAGTGCGAGGCATAAAAGACTACAAGGCTACATTGGTTACCCACTGGTGACCAATTCTCGTACATAATCCACTTCTACAGAGTTTCACTCGTGGCATAAACAGGTTGGTGGTCAAAATTTCCAAGTATTTCCTGTTTAGTTCAGGAGCTGTTATTTAATGGTCTATGAGTTTGGTTACCAACCATACGGTTGAGTTCAAGTCTCACTTTAGTTAGCGAGGTTTAGAAAGTCAGAAACAATCACCAACCATTGCACAAATAGCTATAGTTGACAGCTTAGTTGGTCACTATAGGTTGGTTAAGCAATTGAATCACATTAAAATACCAAAGCGCAGAGAGTACCAAATAATTTTCATCCTCAGCCTAAGTTACAAATTTTTTTTGTTTTCTCATATAACATTTTATTCTTCCAAATGAGTAATAATGTCATCATCATGCAAGCTGAGCCAATTTATTTTACACTATTGCGTAACCACTGTAGTGTTGGTGTATACAGAACAATGAGGTACCTTCTGGAAAATATTCAGCCAAAATTTGGTTAGTTTTATATGTTTCGACTGTAAAATTGTGCTTCGGAATTCGACTGGAAATTTATCACTTCAGTGTAAGAATTACATCCACATTAATCGTTTAGGCTCAAGAGGCGTTTCAAAGATAGGCTTAAAATGGTCTGCGAAAATAGTATGTTAGTCTGCATTGTGTATCTGTAACCACTAGGGTGATTGCAGTATGTATTTTATATATATATATATATATATATATATATATATATATATATATATATCATATATATATACTGATTTATGAAGTCATTGATTACATGTTTTCTGACTGGAACTGGCTAAATGCAAAAAGTTACTAATCCCCATACATTGTATTAAATTTTACTGATTATTGTTGTTTTTGTTTGATTTTGTTCAAGTTCTGTCACGTTGATTTTGATAATATTTTCGATAATTTTGTTTTTCTGCACTGTTTAATCGTTATAAATCAGTTTACTCCTTTTTCCATCACTCTGTTTTTCTAAATATCTAGTCACCTTCAGGTAGCAACAACTGTCGTGTAGTATTGTAATGAACATAATGGCGAAGTTACCCATATCTCTTGTTTTCTCAATATCAGAGTCGAAAAATTAGGAAAAATGGTGTCACATAACTGTGATGACCGGGTTGTTGTAATACAAAAGGCCAGAATGACCATGAATTTTTCCGTACGTTACAAGAGTATACAAACCATTTTATTCTTGACTGATCAGCACTTTCAAATTCAACAATGCATAAATACTGTAACGACTAACCGACAGTGGGAGGGTTTAAAGTGTATCATGTTTTGAAAAAGCGTTCCGTCCTATGAGAAAAAAGTACTTCGTAGTGTGTTTGGTCACGTTTCTGAAGCGTGATCTATGGCTCTTTGGATAAGGCTCTGTATTGTTAAAAGCATCTGGTGGTACTATTTTTTAGTGGTTAGTCGTACTCTGAAACTTGAGTTCAATATGCATCTGTTCATTAGCATATGTCTTTTGACTTTAGAACTTAATATTACTAAAAATTCTTCTTAAAACTGTTGCCTTAAATTGTGAGATTGTGATTTTAGTGTCCAGTTTAAAATGAATGCAATACTCAATCTCTATAGTTGTAAAAACTATCTTAATAAAACCAATTTATTATTATTTACTGTAGCCTGTTGCTAAAAGGCCTTTCAGTTTTGAAGAAGAACTGGATAACTTACCAGTCAGACAGTTGAAGAAAAAGATCTTCCAAGAAGTCAGTCAATTTCGTGAACCAGATTGATACGGGTATCTGTTATTTATTTCCTCATTATTCTAAAGTGTTATTTTTCTTTCATTTGTCAAGATATTATTGTACACTTGGCTGTTTTATTCAGTTTGTAAACATTCCATAGTGTTTTTGATTATGGCGAGAGTTGTTTAGCCATTGTGTTTTCTTCAAATCTGAACCGCATACATATATGTATTATTTCACTTGGAAAAATGTATTTTTCTCCTCGTGTACTTTTTCGTTACACTATTGTATTATTGTTATTGCCTCTTCCTTCTTTCGTCTGTTAATTTAATAAATCTTCTTTAGATTGATCAACTCACAGTTATGAATAGTGATATTATTTTTATCCCCATCCATACTACTACCGTCGTGAAAATCGTGCCTTAATTGTTCAGTAGAATATATATATATATATATATATATATATATATAAGTGCTACTGATATTGGTCTCTAATTGCTTAATAAACACTGTGAGTATATTTACAAAAATCCTACTAACATACTGTGCAATTTTGCTAATCATCTGTTTATCTTAGAAAAAAACGCTTTTTGTATAAAACACTTATTATACTGCTAATTGACTTGTGCTGCGTTTTGTGTTTGTTTAAGTTAATATATGTTCAACATGTATTATCTCTCTTCTACTCATCTTGAAGTAATTTCTCTTCATGGAAATATACACTTCATGCTATATATACCGTCAATTTATTTTTTTATATCTAACTACAGTTGTCTTCTTAGCATATAAATTATAATATATGCATGCCTACAATTTTTATTTTTACCGTTTGTCTTTCGTGAATCTTGTAAGTTCGCTGTGAATAGAATAGAGTTTTATCCACCATATAACGAATATGTATTCTCAGTTTGTTTTTTACCGACTATCCATTGTTATCGCCTTTATTATCATTAATAGTAATAATAATAATAATAATAATAATAATAATAATAATAGTAATAAATATATGATTATCACTTGTTTTTATTGTTCCAGCGGCTTGCCAATTTCTGTTTATTTTCAAACTAGATTTTACACATTTTTTGGCGTGTTTTTATTTTTCTCTTACGCATCTTCTCATACATCATTGTTATTATTTACTTTTCCTATGCAAAACATGCTGCTGTTGTATTTGCACATATGTTGATGAGTTTCGTCATACAGTCTACTCTTCAGCTTCCTTGTAAATTTCTTTGCCAGAAGGAATAAATATTTCGTTTTGCCGTCTATAAAACGGAATGATACCTGTTATTACTGTTATTTTGAACTTGTTGATGCGGTGTCTATGTGTAATCAGTGTAATACAAACGTATTGCATTCCTGTAAATTCTTTTTCTCGTTGCACTTATTCCCGTTCAGATGATGACTAATAATTTCTATTTTAAAAACAAACACATTTTGTCTAAAACTTGAAAAAACAAAACTATTTGTTATTTTTCTGTCTTTTACCACTTGATATTGCTATAACTAATAATTGTCTATTGGTAATACTGAACGGAATACTGTCGGATATATTTTTTTCGATGTATGCCAGTCGAGCTTCACAATATAAAGTCATTTACGTGTTAATATATTTGTCTTCGCTTAGATATAATTAATGTGTATTCACGCTGCTACTGTGTTAGTAGTTGTTTATATTTGCGCTGTGTTGTAACATCGTTTTATTATCATTATTCTTACTTTATGCTGTTGAAATGTGTGTTTTTGACTCAATATACTGTACTGCTGTTTTCAAAGCCTGTTTTGTTGTAAATAAACTTATGAAGTATACCACTTGTACCTTTTTATCTTTTATTCTTAGATGGTATGATACTGGTGTACTGGAGTGTAATTCAAATTTTATTATGTGTGGATAAGTTGACGGAATATCACTAAACGTGTATATACTGGGCACTCTCCGTTGACTCATATCATTCACGGATTATCCCACTCTTCAAAGCTAAATGAAAAATTCTCTTGTGATAACCACATAGTTTATTTTCCATATGAACAATAAACTATGCCTGAGATGTTATCCAGTAAATAATACTTTTTCACTACGTAACATTTAATAACCAGGCTAAAATGGAATCACAATCCTTCACAGTGCCTAAGTTTTTCTCCAATATCAAATGCTGTGTAGCACACTTGATCCTTGGTTGGGGATTAGATATCATGACGGTACCATTAATGGTGTAAGTAGACTAAAGCATATCGAGCTTATTGTCTGTACCGAGATTTCACCGGTCACTAACCTATCACGGCTGATTAAACTTCCCAAGTGAAGTTGTCAACTCACATAACCACTTTATTTCTTATTATTAGAGTAGGCCTCGACGCAAACCAGCCCTGAAGAAACAAATTACATTCGGATGGAGATAAATGCATCCAGAACATACTTAAATTGTCTATAACTGTCCAGGAGACTGCATCTTCACCTAAGAGGTTCATATTCGAAGTTCATTGAAGAATCTGCTGTGACATCGATCCCTATGAAGTCAGAGGGAGATGCTCTTAAGAATATGAAGTCAAATAGGAATGCATAGAGTGGGAAACCCTGACGGTGACCACTCGATGTAAACAACTCACGAATGTTTGAATACGAAGCCTTCAATAGGCTGATGTACTTACCCAACATTCTTTTCAGTTAGAGAAATTGTCGTAAAATTCCTCAATGGACGAAGCGGAAAATTACCTTCAGGCCAAGAAATAGCTGTTATCAGACGCCGGTAAGTGTGCCTGTCTGCCAAGACTTTATAGAGAGGTGGATAATTTGTCGACACTTCCCTAACTGGGCGTGAAATCTACTTGGTTATTCTGAGTTTTTCGTTTCCAACCTACTTTTAGGTGTCTTATTGTTATAGAATCATGAGTCTTAGACACTATTTTCGCCCCAACTGATACCCGTGTGGTCATCATAAGAGGATTTCTCAGAAAGCATTGAAGACAATTCTTGGTTGAAATCAGTAAAAGGAAAGGGCCCAGTGTACACGTGTTTTTAGTGGTATCGAGTACCACTCGACAGTCACTTACTTAATAGCTCTAACCCCTGAGTCTGGGATAAAAGGTTATTTGAAATCAATGAGTTGCTCAGAAACTTATTCATTTGGTGCGAAAGATGTTTTAGAAACGATGTCGTAGTATTAGTCTTTTGGTTTCGCTTCTATCCTCTGGTATCATGTATGTCACTTGGGAGGTTTTTTCTCTACTGAAACAAGATCAAATCGTTTATCCGTTGATTTTGAAGTAAACTATATTATAGTGATTTGTAATAAACCCATTGGTCTGATCAGCCGACAACCAAATTTATCAATCTTTAGGGCAATCAGTAACAACAGCATGATATTTATAGATTATCCAACGTCATTTATGACAGGCATACTTCACGCTTTCTCAGCTTTGTAAAACTTGAAGTAAAAAAGCATTATAAACAGATGCCTAGCATTTAGAGTAAGACTGATTTCTTCTGAGGAGTGCATAGAGAAATAACTACCGTGAGTCCGTGCTATTCTAAGTGAAAACAAATATCCTGAAAAGTTGATCAAATCAAAAATTGATGACAGTAATCCTAAACGTGAATTGATGATAGTGGAGAAGTCTTTCTGTAATTATGACTCAACCTTCAGCTAGGGTAGTAAATAGAACGTTTTATCTTGGCCATCTTTGCATATCTTTCAGTAGTCAGCCAATCCTTATTCTGACACTAAAAGATACTTAACCTAATCTTAGCTCCTGGTTCCTAGTGGAACACTGGACTTCAGTAGCACGTCGCCATTTCACTCTCTTCTCTACAGTCTTCTCAACCTGGCTCCACGACTGCCCACAAGCTTTCATTTATTCTTCACACGATCTCCTCCCTATCACCTCGGATGCCCAACTCGTCGTTTCCCATTTCCATTCCAATCGACAGCCTGGTCTGGTGCGTGATGTCCCCAGTCGGCCCTCTCAGTGTATGCCCAATACATCTCCACTTTTTTCCTCATATTTGTTGGACAGAGATAGGTTGTTGGTTGGTTCGTTGCAGCCCATAGTTCCTTGTTGCTTATTCCTATTATTCTGGCCATCTGATCTTCAGTATCGAGTGGGTGTAGGCAGCAGCTGTTCATGTATGTCCAGTTTGTTAAAGATGCTTTTCGTAATGCGCCAAGTCTCTCAGGCATCACACAGGAGCACTGACTTGACATTGGTGTTGAAAATCTGGATCTTGTTCTTTGTGACGAGTGGTGTTCAGTAGATGTCCACACTGATTTCAGATTAACGACTGTCTGTCTTGCTTTTCCGACTCTGGCTTTGACGTCCCCATCTGTGCCACCACCTGTAGTTGAGAGAATGCTGCCTATGTAGGTGAAAGAGACAACTTCCTTTAAATTTCTCCCCTTCATGGTGATTGTTGCTTCATCACCTCCGTCATCCGTACGTTCAATCGAAGTCGCGTTTTCGCTGCTTCTTTTGTCAACCTGTTAGATTTCGCCTGTAGATCGTCGAGTTTGTGCGACAAGACATTGTACATGCATGAATCACCATCCGCGAAATTCAAATCCTCTAGGCTCTTTTCATCAGTCCAGTCAGCGTGTGCCCCCCTTCTCGCCCATCACTGTTGTCTATTGCATGATCCAATCCAGTCCAGTCGACCACAATCAGGAACACCATCGATGATAGTAGGCAACTTTGTCCTACTCCTGTCTTCACTATAGTGGCATCATTGAGCTTCCCATTGTGAATTACTTGGCATGTGGAGTATTCAAGTAGTTGTCGAATGAGTTTGATAAACGTTTGTGGCTCTATACAGTGTTGAAGCAACTGCCGCATTGCTTCTCGGTTGACGCTGTTGAAGGCCTTTTTAAAATCAATGAAGGTGAGGTGGAGAGTTGACTGGCATTCTATACTCTGTTCCATGATGATGCGTAGCGAAGCGTTGCAATTTGATCTGCACATGATTTGTTCTTGATGAAGCCTGCCTGCCTGCAGCCAGCCAGCGGACCAGTGTAGTGTTTTATACACTGTACTCAGTTCTTCGTTTCGTTGTTCATTCTTGCACTCCAGTGCACTGCACTGCACTGCACTGCACTGCATTGGTTCATCTTCTGCTTCACCATCTTCCTCTACATGCTCCATCACCTTCCATGTGTACGTACAGATCCATTCCTTGTCTCCACCTGTATCCTTTTGTCTTGTCTTGCCTTGTCTCGTCTCGTCTCATCTCGTCTTGTCTCATCTCGTCTTGTCTTGTCATGTCTTGTCTTGTTCCCTCTTACTTCCTAACACCGTTATGCAGGTTTCCTTCCACGACGCTTCCACAACACACTGTTACAGTGTTCTTACACGCAGGTTCCTCAGGCATCTTGCTCAATGTCTACCACACTTTCCTCATTGCTGACGTGGAGATTGTCTTCTTAGTTTCGTCCTTCAGTTACTTTCTGTTCCCAGTGTTCAACTTCAACTGTCGTCATCTATCACCACCAACTTGTTTGACGGCTTTCAACTTGATATTGAGGGCAGCTTCCTTGCACTGGATATTGAGTGATGTGATTGGTGTGAACCTACATCTGCTCCCCTTCTTCATCTGATCTGATCTGATCTGATCCGATCTGATGTGATGTGATCTCGTGTCGAGTAGGCTGACTGCATCTCCACTTTCTTCACACTCATGCGAAGTCGATCTGATGTTTAGTGTAGTGTGTCTGGTGTTTGGTGAAATCAACTGCATGTCGCTGCCTTGTGGATATCCTTGTACCTGTACACACTGCCTCCAATCGCCGAATCGTTGAATGCACACGAGTCTGCAAATAATTCTCCATTCTCATTCATCACTTCACCGAGTGCTCCTCGACCCATGATGGGTGAGATCTCTTGCTGTGTTTTCTGCTCTCAGTTTGGTACTCATGCCACTCCACCCATTACTATGAAGTTTGATGTTGGCAAGTGTGGTGGGGTCTTGTCTAGTGTTGATTGTAGTTGTCTGTCGAATTCCTCCTTCCTGTTT